GTAAAAATAACTTGAGTACAATGAAGGCACCCTCAATTGACAAGCGTGCCTGCATGATAGTCAAATTATTCTTCAGCACAGAAATGCAAGCTAGAACAAAAAATACAGGATGATAGAGAATTTGAAGCTCTTTGTTACGAACCTGGACAGTTCGTCTTCTTTTTCATTCACGTGTCAATGCACGTGATAATTTCTCTTTTTAATACTTCTCCTTGTCTTCTCATTCACATTCCAGACATATAGTTCTTTATTCGTATATTTATTTAGACCATAGTCCATTATTTTTCTCTTTGGTTTCTTCTGATTTTTTATATACAAATCGCCAGATAGAACGATAGATATATTTTTCTCTCTTTATGACGCGGCATAGACTTCTAGCTTTTTCTCTTGTTATACTATATATTATCCGTATACAGTCATATTAGTTAGTCCTATTCAGTGTGTGCTTATGTGTGTGTATGAGCGTGTGACCGTCATTTTTATTATATTCATTTTCAACCACTTGTTGCACAATAAATTTTACACACTGGCACTTATTTCATTTTATTTGTCAACCAGAGCTTAGGACCCGGGGATAGCGAGAGTATTCTTCACTTTAGCATTGCCTGGTATATGACAATTGGTGCCCTGGCCGACCGTTTTTATTTATTTGTTTGGACACATCTCATTAGAGAAGTGTCCGCATATTATATCGTCTTTAAATTATATCCTTGTTTTTTCTCGTTTCATTTATTTACAGTTTTGTTTACAACTTTATTCACAAAACTATTTAGAAAATTACATATTATCAGTCAAGAGGGGTAAGCTAAAGAGTTTATTAGCATGGTTAAGGATTTCAGTAACACATAGGCATAATATTTTGTACACACAAAGATTAAAAAACATTTATAATTTACATATTTCTGTAACAACAAGAACATGATCGATGAACCGATCTTTAAGATCGAATACTAATCTTAAGTTACATAATCTTCGTAAAGATTTCCCTCTACTTAAACATATATGTAAATCATCCTCTATTAAATCGTCTACATCATATAAATCACATGAAATTTCTTCTTTAACTAAATCATTCTCTCCTAATCAGTCCATAAATTTTTCTTCACCTCCACGCTGTACTACATTACCAGTCATGGCAACTTCAAATTCTACAAATCAAGAGCCTGATATTGTTAATGAAGTTTTAACGACAACTAAACATGACCACGTTGATAATTTTAAACAGTTTGAAGAAATTGTATTAAAAGATATTTCAGTCTTAGATCTTGAAAATTTTGATGATCCGTCAAGTTGGATAATAACAGTTGAAGATATTTTCCAAACGTTAAAATACAAAGAAAGAACATTTGTTTGTCTTGTGTATGATTATTTACATCCAAGCTTACAGCAGTGGTATGATAACAATTCTTCTTCGTTCCAAACAAATTGGACTGAATTTAAATACCAACTAATTACTTTATTTAATCAACCATCATCGTCCGTAATAACAAAACACGTATCTTTCAGTGAACAAAGTAAACCTAATCAAGAGGAAGATTCTCACCAACAACAAGAAACAGAATTGCAAAAACAAAGGGAAGAACAAATTCAATCAGTAGTTAGCGCCATCCCATATTTTGAAGGAATTGGAGCGGAAGCTTGGTTTTCAAATTTGCTTCTGCTTCGCAAATTTGGAGAACTAGATTTAGAACCAGATCTAATGATGTATTATGTAAAAGAAAAATTTATTGGAATGCCATTAATATGGTATTATGAAAACCTTTCCAAATTCGAAGATTTTCCTTCTTTCGTTATGTCTTTTCGATTAAAATACATCGACCCTCCTTCTATCGTTCAAAATGCAACAAAATCTTCTTTAACAAATATCACTGAACAAAAACCTGATAATACAACAACAATTTCTTCAATTTCTAAACATCAGTCTGTTGAAAATATTCTTCAAAAACATTTATAGAAGATCTTATCAAGAATCCAAAAACGTTTTCTGGTAGAGATAATGTATCAAATTGGATAGCAGACATCGAACAAAAATTTATAACAGCTAAATGGCCAGACCACTTACGTTTGGAATATATCTCACAATTTTTAACAAACGAAGCCAAACAGTGGTATAAAGAACAGAAAAACAATATTACAACGTGGCAACAATTTAAAATTGAAATAGAAAACGCCTATACATCAACGTATGAAGTTAATTTAGCTTTTCAACGTTTAAAAAATTATAAACAAACAAGTTCTCAATCAATAAAACAATACTACGCGGATATCATCAAATTATGCACGGATGCCGA